TTGATACTTAATACTATGATTGAGTGGTGTTTGACAAAGTTAAGATTACAGTTTATTGAAATAGTTTGTGAATGTGAACGAACATTCACCCTTTGTGGGTCAACGACCAACTTGCCCTTTTGAGCACATAATAATATAACAACACCAGATTTTTCAATCTTAGTACTTATAGCATCATAACATTATATCACGCCTCTTAGTCTCGAAGGGGTAGGCAGAGGTGAATGAATCTTAATACTTAATAATAGAATATCTTCAAGTGTACAGTATTGCAATATGCACTAAATTACGTATTGTCAAATTTCCCCAAGAGTTCATATGAGGGCAAAAGACTCGACTTTAGTATGTCATTATAGGTAAAGACTTATAGTCAACCATATTCTAATCACTTGGCATTAAAACCCATTACAATAAACTTTAGTGTATGTGATTGATTGATTTGGGGATAGGAGCTATCGGTAATCTCACTCAAAGGACAAAACACAACGTAAGTGTTGTTTCAGGTCGGTTCTACGTAAGGCCGTATCACTCCGGTCGAGCTCATTCGTGCTGAAGCATAGCTCTTCTATTTAAATACTAAGACATTAGATGCTAAGTAACATAACATAATACCACGCCTTTTATTGCCGAAGGGGACGTGCACATTACAGCACTTAATGCCACTGTAAAATGCAACACCCACTTTTCACTATTTATGTTATGTGTCCCATGTAATAGGGATTTAGGCTATTGCCACATACCGGACACATTTCCAAACTCCGTGTTACTACTAAAAACCCTTTTTAAAAACCCTGTAATACTTTGCCAGACCTGGGAATCGAACCCGAGACCCTTTGCCCGGCAGTCGCACTTGCGACCACTCGGCCAACGAGGCAGTCGCGAAATGTATACGTATTTAATAAACAACTTTAATCTAACCAGACGAAAAATCAAACAAAATAAATTAGATTAATTCTAATATTAAATTACACATAAATAAAATAATTTCTCATCTCGTTTCCAAATAACAGTTTGTTGAATAACACAAACAATTCCTAAGAATATTTAACGGATGCTGATCACTCATCTCTAGAAGATTAAAGGGAATATTCTGGTTTAAATTGATCAGGCTTGCTGGCAACTGGCCAGATACCAATGTTGGTTCATAACGCATGATTTGAATGCCGGTAAATTGGCACCGTTTATGTTTAGTGCCAGACCGGGTTTAGTATTGTGTTGAGCAACATTGATTGATTAAGTGACTTCATTGTTGTTATCGACTTCGAGTTTTGAGGCTATCTACGTAGCTTTATGTACTTACTACGTTATTTTCTATACAATTACTTATTTGTGTGTCAGGATTGCTTTCAAAATTGTAATCAATATGTGGTTAGATACATTCAAGATTTATTTTAATTCCTAACCCTTATAAAACCGGCATTGCCCTTTTCTCTGCCGCGCCGATTGCTTACTATCAAGCGATTCGTGTCAAAGACAAAGTCAAAGTCAAAGCATTTATTTTAATTAAACCATAATTGGGTACTTTTGAAACGTCAACAAATACAAAATAAATAATAGTCTGTCAGTCAGTCCGTCAGTGAAACTAGGTGAAGCTAGGTGCTCATTCCAAAATATAGATTCGAATGGAGAAGAACGAGCAAGAAACTCCATTCGTTACTCTTTTTAAAAAGTATGTTCTACAATGTCTCTGATACATATTCTAATACTGTACGTATGTGAGAACAATACAAAGACACGCTTGACGCATTATAGGTACTAAATACAAACCTTACTAAAATAAAAAAAAAACATAGTCTAACATGGTGCTCACTAATGTGTGTTCGTTTGCCGGTTTATATCATAAAAAACAATTGTGAATTCAAAAACCTTCAATCAAAGATTAATCTAAAACACAAACCAAGTCTAGAAAGATGGAAAACAAAAACTTTCAACAAAAGTTAGCCAATCAGTTCGTTTTGTAAGTAGCATGAACTTTCATCATTGAATTAATCTTTCAGAAAGTTCAGCTGAAGTATTTACTGTTTCAATCAAATAACGCGTCATGGATTGATTGTTATTTACGTCCAATATCTAAGGCCTAATCCTCATTCAATTATTTACTAGAATTAACGCATTTCTATTTATAGACCAAAATTGTATTTATACACGATGTGTGTGTAAACGAAACGCTCCCGAATCGCTGACAAAAATCAACAACTGTTTTAACAATTTTAATTGTTTTTCTTTTCGTGTTTTTATGCAACATCAGGCTTTAGTGGTTGATTAAAACTATTATTACATGATAGAAATATTTTACTCCTTACCTGCATGAACTTAAAGTAAACTTAACTTTATTTGTTTTTTACCATCATCTGCCAGTGTTTTTTGGGAGCGTTCCATTTACATCCTGTATATTGTGTATATCGTTTTTATCCCGCGGCAAAACTACTTGCCATAAGGAGTGTCAAATTTTGGTGCATAAAATCATCATCATCATCATCATCAGCCCGTGTTGGTCCACTGCTGGACATAGGCCTCTCCAATGACATGCCACTGAGCTCGGTCTTCAGCTCTTCTCATCCAACCACTCCCAGTCACCTTTCGGATGTCGTCACTCCACTTAGCTGGCCCTACACTACGTTTGCCTAGACGCGATCTCCACTTAAAAACACGTTTACCCCAACGGTTATCGGTTCTTCGACAAATATGACCGGCCCACTGCCACTTCAGTTTACTAATCCTTTGGGCTTGTAAATGCTTAAAATACATGCATAAAGTAAAAACAAATAAATAAAGATGTCGTTTAGCTAAGCAGATGAAATTAGACATCTTATATTTTTTCTTAGTAAATCACAATTTTAAAAAGTTATATCTTTGAGCTGTTGCAATAAAACAATAGTGGTAGCGAAGTTATTGAAGCGTTGTGAACAATAGCTCTTATAAACGAGAAGAAAATAACTGGTAAGATTGAGTTCAATGCTCGGTCAGCGGCCATCTTGAAAGAACTCAGATGACTAGAAGGAGCGTTATATAAAATATTTTTATTTTGACTCTTACACTCACATGCGATATGAGAGTGACGTGGTCTCGGGTTCAGTTCCTGAAAATATCTTTATCTTTCGTAATAGGTTCTTAATGTTTTTTACACGGCAATTTTCAAATTAGATGAGCTCGAAATTACACATTTAACACCTCAGAGGTCATCACACCAACCCTTATCTAGACAAAAGGGTACATGTAAGAATTCTACATGTGTTTTTCCTCACTACCTATTGCAGAATTTTCAGTAATATAAAATGAAATCATCGGCTTTTTTATTTTAGTGCAATAACTAATAATAGGTTGGTGTGTGTACCATTCACCTACTCCCTACACTTTCTAAGAAAGCAAGCAAGATGTTATAGTGTATCGCACAGCTGTTATTGTAAAAGCTAACTTTCAATTAGCCGAAGAACGTATAATAAACATGAGAATAAAATAACAAAGAATTACAAATAGATACCGACGGCTACATATCGTTGAATTTTCAATTATAAGCTATTCAAAACCTCTAAAAGACTCCCGCGCAAGGGGCCTCAGGTTCGATTCCCGAGTAGGGCAAAGATTTACTGTGTTTTTAAAAAAATCTCAGTAGTAGCACGGAGTCTGGAATTGTGCCCGGTATATGGCAATAGGCTCACCCCCTATTACATGGGACTCGTTACATAAATAGTGAAAAGTGGGTGTTACATTGTATAGTGGCATTAAGTGCCGTAATGTGCACCTCTGCTACCCCTTCGAGGATAAAAGGCGTGATGTTATGTTATGTTATGTTCAAAACCTCTATTTCGAACACAATACAGTAAACAAAAATCGTAGATAACAGTCCTAATAATAATAATTTAAAATATTTATACATTTCCAAATTCCATTAATTAAATTAACCTATAAAAGCGTTTCCGTGTTCATAAATCGCGGGAAATGTTTTTTATTACATGTCATGTCACCTGTAAATTAATGTCAAAAATTTATCTTTCACCATGTTGACCATACTTTGATATTTCAGCAGTGAATAGAAATGATAAATACCATCTATATTTTACCTTGTAGCTTGTTAGGACGTTGATAACTTAACTTTTTGATTTATTTTGTTTAATGGCCTCGTGATCACGTATACGACTGCCAAGTAATATGTGTCAGTGTCTATTACGCAGTCTGGCATAATATTGTTGACATTTTCGTGAATTCTTAGCATAAAGGTACTGTTACACATTTTTTAAATTAGCATGCTTAAAGCCGTTCTAAATAAAAAGAGCATACTCAAACGTTTTCAAAAATCGAACGACTATCGATTCAAATGCTGAAAAAAATAGCATGCTAATTTTGCACACATGCTACTAAACAACAAGAGATTGAAATTCGAATGTGTAATTACCAGTATATTATACAGTACCTTAGTGATGTTTCGGTTTAGAAACATAGACAAAAGTTACAGTGATCGTTTACTATCCAATTTATTGTTATCGAAGCCTTAAAAAAAACATAGTCTGAATTGGGATGATGATAGAGTATGAAAATTAAAAATATAATTAGTTCGTAAATTAGGTAATGAAAAAATATTAGACACGTATTTTTTATTTTGGCGTATAATAAAACAATACTTAGATAAAACGAATCAAAGTTTAGGAGTGGGGGCTAAAATGTCATTTCTACGTATAAAATGTACATAGAAGTAACGTCACGCGACATTTCAAATCAATTTATCGTCGCAATTATTCGTTTCTGTAAGAAAACAAAAAATACGTGTCTAATGTTTTAAAACAATCTATTATACCAGACGGACAATAAAATAAAAATTAGGCATCTACCCTATTATTGTGTTCTATATGTGGTTAAAAGTACACCCCCTATTATATACTAGGCCTTATGTACCAGCAACAACATAATAGGCAAAAACGATTGTAACATTAACATGTTCCCTCAAAAAATGTAAGCCAAAAAACTCAATAACACTTTGTTAATGACTGATAATTTGTTCGCAGGTAATGTACTGCCCGCCCCCCTACAATGACGGTATGTCAGGCCGGCCCCAGCCCACCAAGACGACCCGTACAGGCAATGGGAACTCCTGCCATGACATCGTCTGAGATTCAGTGAAAACCAGGTCACGTTTTCAAAGCAAGGACCAAGTTACCATAGTGTGAACGTGCCCTATACCATGAACTATATAACTATATAGATAATAAATATAACCACGGTGTAAATATCTTTGTTATTAATTAATCATGTATCTATTAATGTTATGTAGAAAATGTATGTTATAGAATTTGTAATATCATATTTTTATAGTCCTTCATTTCTTAATGTAGTTCAAATTTTTTGATATCTCTCACATACTTCTATATTCCGAGCCCCAATATGGAAGTGAGTACGATGTATCGAAAAAATTATGTAAATATTAATTTTAATTTTTATATTATTATTAATTCTTAATAATTTCTATAAAATTAGATTGTAATTAAAATTTTAGTCAAACTAAAATGTACCTACGAATTAGATATTAAAGTTTAATATGTAAAACATCGAATTATACGATAGATTTAATATTGTAAATAAAAATTATAAACTTTTTGTATGTAATGTAATATGTTGGAGTAGAAATATTGGAATGTAATTGCATTAAAATATATTACAGTTATTTAAATTTGAACCTTGTAACTAATGAATATAATAGCGAATATCTAGTGAAATTACAGATATAGAATGTTTTACGAATGTATATAAAATATTAAAGTTACATAAATGTTACGTTGTATTAATGTTAAGTGAATTTATGTAAAACGCTTTAATATAAGTTATGATTTAATTAAATGTTTTGATAATATTTGTTCGTTCATTTTCTCTTGGTAACTGTGTTCGAGTCTATTTTAATTTTAACTTTGAATTAGAACATAAATAAACAGATTATAATGATCCGAGAATTCTTAGGAAGACGCGAAACAGGGCATCAAAGAAAGGCAATTAGTTACTTTAAAGTTTTCCTGCTAATATTTATCAGGGAATTTAATTTAACCCTTTAGAAATAAGATGTTGTGTAACTTTCTCGGCTTGTTATATCGAAATAACAGGCTCTTGGTAGAATTTTGATGGGAAATTATTCGCTATTGTTAGTCAACCTGTCTCTTTTGTTATGTTGTTGTAGGCACAACAGGCGAGTGAAGATGTGAGGTTCGATTCCTGGTAATTGCAATATATTGTAGTTTACACTTTTGTATTACACATTGTAGTTTGCTCTCACTGTTTAATTTTTTTCCTTTTTTGGAAATAGTACAGTTTCATATTTTCATAATATAAGTCTCTACTTATATTATGAAAATATTTTCTTTTCTTTAAAAGAAAATTTGCAAATTAAACAATAGGGACCTCTGTCTACCCTTTTCTATAAATAAAAACGTGGACGTTATCATTAATGTGAGTCATATTTTGTGATATATTTTTATATGCTACTCTACCACTTCATTCTATTTGGGTAGCCATTGCCATGACAGTGACACTGACAGCTTGACAAGTTGGCGCGCTTTTCCTTGTCAGCCATTTTGAATTTCGAAAAGTGACAAAATATTAATGGAGTTAACAAACTGCAGTTATAAATTATTGCATTAAACGTAATTACGATATAAAATTGTTGATATAGAATTGTGAAATTAAATATTTTTTAACATTTTTCTGACACCATTTTGTAATATGAATAGTATTGTTAACACGAAACGTAGGACATGGGAGAATTTCGGACATTTTAAAATTATTTTTTAAAACCAAATGGTGATAGAAAATTGATTTTGTATTTATTACAGAGCAAAGCTTCGATTCAAAGTATTAGGTGTATAATTTTCCAACTATTACTATAACAACAAAAAAGTATTACTGCAATAGTGCCCGGTATATGGCAATAGGCTCATCCCCTATTACATGAGACTCAAAACATAAATAGGGAAATGTGGGTGTTACATTGTACAGTGGCATAATATGCACCTCTGCCTACTCCTTCGGGGATAAAAGGCGTGTTGTTATGTTATGTAATATTATATAGTAGGATAAGTCCAGATTTCCACACAGTGTCTTTCTTCACTGACATATTAGGTAGTTACCTGAAACTAAAAGTTCTCGCTGTACAACGAAAAACACGTAAAACACTATAGTGAAAGCTTTGTCCAGCAAAGATTTATAGCAAGTAATAAATAAGAGTCCCGTAAAATACGACCTTATTTTACTACCGTCTAATTTATTAGTATTAATGGCCCTCTCGTCAGTACCTTCATGGTAAAATGAAGCTACTTATCTATGTAATATAGTTCATTTAGGATTGATTGGAATCTGGGAGTGTTGTGTTAATGATTGTTCGAACTAATCCATTGAGTAGTTGTATATTTTAAGATAGTGAGTAAATACTTGCCTTCTTCTAAGATTAGAGAGAGAGAGAGAGAGAGAGAGAGAGAGTTAAGATAAGTGAGACTTCAGACTTTATGGTTGGCGTAGTAGCTGTGCAACTGGCTGCTGCAAACGTGTCCCAGGCTCGATTCTCGCTTGGAACATTTTTTCGAGTGATCAACTAAATGTGTGTAAACGTACCAATGACACTGGGGAACATCACGGTACGTATAATATAACTTATTAGGTCAATATCAGTAAAATAATGGCATACGCAGAAGAACATAATTATATATGTATGTGTATACGTTCGTATGTTCATAATATTTATTGCTGTAAGACTTTATTGAGAATTGTTATCAAAATTCAGTTATTTCTTTCTTTCAAATTTCTATAAAAATAGATACATATATACAAAGGTATTCCACGATCAAAGCCAGTTACTATGATGGGTTTACGGCTTCAATATCAGCTCCGTCAGCTTTGAAATCTTTTGTTTTCTAGTAATTCCTAAAGACAAAATGATACCGACGCTGGAAACTTATGACAACCTGCTATGTTATCATTTTATTTCAATGAGTAGGTTATTTCTTAAAAATATACATGGTATATAATATAGGTAGAAGAATATTAATGTCTTACTTTCAGCCACCATCATGAGCATCAAGAGCTGACATTCCACTTCTAAACTGTGGCGCAATATTATATAAACATTAGAGATACCCAGCCTGGACGTTGCGAGCGCCTGAAAGAGCCATGGGACCATCGTACCACGAAAGTGGCCCGCTAGGCCACCTGGCTCCGAACCCGCAGCGAAATACCATACCGCGGCCGAACTCGAAGCATGAGATGGGGGAAAATCATCCAATTGATTCTTCCGGGATGAACTTAACGCCTATTAAAAGGATTGGAACAGAAAGCTATAAGAAGAGACGAGTGGAAGGAGGGTAGGGAGACATTTGCCCTGCAGTGGGACGACCATGTCTAAAATGAAAATGAAAAATGAATGAATGACTTATTTAGCCTTGGGTGATGCTTACTTACATCACCCAAGGCTAAATAAGTCATTCATTCATTTACACTGAGTGACACTATGTCTTAACATAGTAAAACATAGTGTCACTCTTATTGACAGAACCACCCTGTTCTCCTACTTAGAGCCGGACCAGTCCACAGCTCTGGAGTCAATAAGAATCTCCCTCTTGTCTCACCACGGGCGATCTAACCTTGACCCTGTTACACTTACAGCATAATATAGCTTCATATTCCAATTGAAAAACAAAGGATTCCACTCCACTAACATTGGACTGTTGAACTCGTACCGTAAGATTTTACGGTCCAAATAAATTAAATTAAAGTGCCTTAAAAATGGAGACTGGCGCGTGACTGTTGGGATAAAGCCAAAAGCTGAACGATAAAATTAACGACATGTATCGGTTATTGTTGAAATTCAATGAACTGATTGCATTTGTAATGTGAAGTTTGAAAGCATTGCTTTAATTTTCTGCTATTGTTATAGACAATAGTTTGTAGATACCTATTTGTAGTGAAGGTGAAGGAGCGGTGAAAAACTATTAGTTTTTTTTTTCGTAAAAAATGCAATGGTGTCCTATTGCATTATAGTATTGTTGGACATTACTTAGGTTAAGAGTGGGGTTTGGATGACAGTTACTATATAAGGGGCGGAATACCCGGCGCCTTGCCCCTATTCGGTTACCATCCGTCGTGCAAGATAGATTCAGGTCTTGTTTGTAATATTGTATATTTAGCAAGGGTAGATTATTTTCACTTTGTTCATATAAGATTTTTTTTTATGATGGTTTCATTAATTTTTGATGATTGTGTTATAATTTTAATTTTAGTTTTAAGGTATTAAATTGTCCCATTTAAAAAATTCAACCCGCTTCTTATTTCTAATACTATGTTATACTGAATGACTACAGTAACTGCCGATTCTAAATATATTCAAATACGACAAACAAACAAAAAAAAATTGTGTTTTAATAGAAAGAAATTGCTCATTATGCACCATTCATAACAATTATAGCTTCGTGATTAAATCTCTAGAGTAACTCAGTTATTAACTGATTGTTATCGGCACTACACAGTTAAATAATACAACACTTTCTTTTGTTTTATCGCCATTTTGAAATCGCTTTGTTTCCGACCGATAGATGGAAAGAAAGAAAGAAAGAAAAACCATTTATTTTGCTACGACACACAACAAGAATTTGGAAACACAAAAAAATGCCTATGGTGCGTCGCAGCGCAAATATGGCTTGCTTAAAATAAATTTGGTTATTAATGGAGTACTTATTTTAAAAGATAATTTTAATACTATACATATATATCTTATACTTCTTATACTGTAAAGCTGGAGAGTGTGTTTGTTTGAATGCGTTAATCTCTGGACTTACTTGTCCGATTTATATAATAATAATATAATAAATCATTTATTCAAAAAATCAAAAAATATAAACAGAAATTTCATATGTCTTAATTCTATATTCTTATTGCTATGTTATGCCATGTGCCTGAACTAGGTTTGAAAAAATCTTGTTGTGTTGGATAGTCCATTTGTTGAGGAAAGCTATAGGCTATGAACCATTACGCTACGATGAATAGGCGCCGATCAGAGAAGGTGAAGTAGCTAATGAATAATAAAATTCCTGTGGAAATAATGTACTTTCAAAGCCGCCTTAATTTTTCAAGTCGGACA